TATAAGAGCTAAGAATTAGTCTACTTTTTATTAGTTATAGCTATAAAGTAGTAGATCTTATTATATAATATAATACTAATATTCTAGTTCTAATAAATAGTAGTAGTAGTAATATAGCTAGAGATATAAAAGACGTTAATAGATAAAGACGCCTTTAGATAGCAAGCTATCTTATAATAAAGATTTAGAATTATAGAAAGAGAGTATTTATAATAGTAGCTACTTTATGTGTAGTAGAGATAGTAATTATATATATACTTAGCTAAGTAGTACTCTAAGTTAAAGCTAAGTATTATATCTTTCTAATTTATAAAGAGTTTATATATCTAGAACTATAGTATTTTAAAGATTATCTAAACGCTAAATAACTTAGTAATATATATAAAAATATTCTTAGTATAGATACTAAAGATAACTATTACTTAGACTATATAGGTAACACTAGCTACTATTAAGCTATCTACTAGCTCTAGAGTAGCTAGTTATTATAAGAGTAGTAGATTATATTTATATACGTAAGTATAAGAAGTATTAAGAAAAAGAAAGATATAGCTAGTATTACCTATAATTTTAATATATTATAGAAAGGTATAATTAGATAATATTATTTCTTTAAAGACTAACTACTAGCCTATAAAAGGCTAGTATATTATACTATATATAGTAGTAGTAGTAATAGATAAGACTATAATCTAGAATCTAGTTAGACTTTATTATTCTAGAGCTTTAACGTAATTAGTAATTATCTTAAGAGTTAGATCTAGTTCTAGATTATTATTAATATTACTATCTTCTAAAAAGAAGTAAGTAAGTATAGAAAAATTATTAATAAAGTAATTTAAGTATAAATTCTTATTATTATTACTATTTTTAACTAAAGAGGTAGAAAGTAAAATTAATAAGCTAGCTAGTATAGAGACTATATTCTTATACTTTAGAGGTCTCTAGAGATAACTATTACTAAAGATAACTAGTTTTCTAAAAGGTTATAGTTATTAGTAGCGTTAATAGCGTTAACGCTAATAGCTATACTAGAAGTACGCTTAGAGCGTACTAGATTACTAACTAGTACTTTATTATTAGTAATAGTCTTCTTAAGAGTATTCTAAACCTTTTACTTAGAGCTAAATATAGTAGAGAACTAACTAAAGTAGTAACTATTCTTAGTTTTATAGCTATAGTTCTTCTTAAGATAGTTATAGTAGTAGTTTAAGTAGCGTAGAACCTTAATCTAAATCTTAGAATATCTATAAGGTTCTAGACTAGAGCTAGAGCTAGAGCTAGAGCCTAAGGCAGCTTTAGTGTTATTTCTACTATATTCTTCTCTAGTATTAGACTTATTTCTACTCTAGTTACTACTACTAGAGTAGTTAGAAGTAGAGGCGCGCTAGAAGTTAGATTATTTAAAAAAGTAGAGAGTATAGTAGAACTCTAGATAGATAAGATTAGATTTAAGAATCTTAAAAGTAGTTATATTCTTCTACTAGATAGAAAGATAGTTATATATAAACTAAAGCTTAATATAGTTAGCTTATTATAAAGTAAAGATACTAATATTAAAGTAGATAATAAATTTACTTATAGACTTACTAAACTTTATATAGAACTAGAAGCTTTTATACTACTACTAAGCTATAACTATAGTATTAAGAGAATAATAGATAGTATCTAAAATAGCTTATACTTTATTACTATATATAAAACTACCTTCTTTATTAAAAAAGCTATCTTAGATATTACTAAAAGCTTAGTTCTTAGTCTTTTAGTAGAGGTAGTTTAACTTCTTAGCTTTAGAAGTAAAGTTATACTAGTACTTATTAAACTAGTTAATAATGTCTATCTTCTACTTAGTATAGTTAGACTTAGTAGTATTAATACTAGAGAAAACTTTAGGTTTAGATTTTTTAGAGTAATAATAGTAAAAACTCTAATTATAGATAGTAGAACTATTAATAGTATTATAAAGACCTAGAAGGCCTAGAAAGCTATCTATAGATCTACTACTAGCGCTACTAATAGATTCTCTAGTAGAGTTATAAGAGTTTTTATTATTATTAGTACTAGTATTATTATCTAAGTTAGAGTAGTCTAGAAAGATTAGATCTATATAGATGTAATAGATAGTCTTAGACTTATAAGTAGTTATAGCGTAGAGATATATTTCTAGGTCTTTAATAGTAGTAGTAGTAGTACTAAGAGTATTAAACTTTTTATAATACTTAACTTTATAAGCCTTCTTACTTATAGTTATCTATTTAAGTATAGTAGAGATATACTATAAATCTTAGTTATTATAGTATAAAGTGCCTTATATATCTTATATCTATTCTACTAGTTATATACTCTTCTAGTTAGCGTTAATAAGTTACTAGTAGAGAGTAGTAGTAGTCTTTAGTATATTCTCTAAGTTACCTTTATATACGTTAGCGCTATTCTAGAATTTCTAAGTCTACTCTTATAGAGTTTTTACTAGCTTTACTTACTTTAGATAATATCTACTAAGAAAGTTAGCTTAGACGCGCTTATTATCTAGGCTTTACTTTATAAAGTATAGCTACTTTATAATATTAGTAATAAAGATAATATACTTATTAGTGTTACTAATATCTTTAAGATTAGTAAGCTTAACTAGACTATTAAGTTCTACTTTATAAGTAGCTTAGCTATTAATATTAGTCTTCTATACTTTAAACATAGTAAGATTATTATTATAGAGAATAATAAAAGTCTTAGAAAGCTATTACTTATAGAATAATTACTTAGAAAAGTTAGATATAGTAATAGATAAAAAGTTATAAAAGCCTAAGAGTAGCTTAGAGCTAGTCTAAGCATTATTTAGATTAGAGTTATTATTATCTTTATTATTACTAATACGCACTTATTAAGACTAGTAATAAGTAGTACTTATTAATAGGTAATAGATATTATTACTAAAAGTAATAACTTTCTTTTTATAATAGATAATTATAGTTATAGACTTACTATTCTCTAAGTTATTAGAAACTTTAAAAGTGCAAGAAGAGATCTAAAAGCTATTAGCGTTACTAGTATTAGTAGTAGACTTACTAAAGAATAGAAAGTAATCTAAAATATACTATTAATAAAGCTCTTAGAGTAGGTTATTAGTTTTTAATAAGTAGAGAAATAAGCTAGAGTAATAAACTAGTGTAAAGAATAGAAGGTTAGTTACTTATATTATCTATAGCTAAGATAGTTATAATATAAAGGTAGTAGCGTAGAAGTATCTAATAGTATAGAATAACTATCTAGAGTTTTAGGTCTAAGTATAGCTACTACTACTATTACTACTACTACTAGAGCTTCTACTAGTAGTAAGGCGCACGTAGTTATTAGTAGTAATAGTGTTCTACTAATAATATAGTGTTATAATAGTATATAGATTAGCTAATAGAGCTAGAGTCTTAAAGATATTATAGCACTACGCGTAATTAGTATCTTTCTATATAATAGAAAAGCTAAAAAGTAAAGTATTAAGATAGTTAGCGTCTATAATAGTTAATAGAGCTACTCTTATAAGTTACGCTATTAAGTAGTATACTTAATAACTATAATAACGTATAAAAGTCTTATATATATTAATAATAAAAGTATATAGAATAATAATATTATTATAGTAGAGAGCTTTAAGTAGAAGCTATTAAAGGTAAATATATATTATAAAGGTGTTAGTCTAACGTTAGACTAATAAAGCTCTAGGTCTAGAACTATTATACTATAAAATAAAGTAAATAAAACTAAGAAATAAAATTATATATAAGTATAAGTTAAAGAGAAGAAAAAGTAATAAAAAAGTAACTACTATAAATACTACTTTTTAAGTATACTATATATATATTATAGCCTTTAATATACTTACTATTAACTTAGCTACTAAACTTAGCTTTTATAGTATATTACTACTATTTAATATTTTAATAATACTTTTATTTTTTATAAAGTTTACTATAGTAAGAAAGAAAATAGTAAAGCTAAAATTTACTTATTACTATTTTATTATTATTTTTAAACTTATTTTTCTTAAAAATTTTACTACTATATTATTATATTATATAAGAATTTAAAATACTAAAAAGTACTCTTTTTTTTTTAAGAAAATTTAAAGTATATTATATATACTAAAAATATAGATATAGTATATATAGCTAATATCTTATAAGTAATAACTTAGTAGCTAAAAACTTTCTAATTACTAAAAAAGTAGTAGTATTAAATTTAGTTTATTAACTTTAGCTACTAAGCTCTTAGCTAATACTTTATAAGTAAGCTATTTTAAGTACTATATTTAATAATAAAGTATAATATAAGTAGGTACTAGCTATTTTAGCTAAATATAAAATCTTTATTTAATATTAGTATAAATAAAAAAAGTAAAAAAATATAGTAAAGATAGCTAAGTAGCTATTATAAGTAATAAGTTATTTAGTTAATTATTTAAATTATTTAGTTTATCTAGTGCTAGTACATTAAATATAAAGTCTAGACGAGTAAGAATTACTAATTAGGATAACAAACGCGAAGAGAAGGACACTAGTCAAACACACTTCTAAGGTCTAATTACTTAGCAAGCTTTTAAGCTGCTGTTATCTATTAAATCAACTGTATCAGATGTAGTTAGCTTATAAAAGAACGTTTTGTACCGAATTTAGTGCAACATAGTGTTATATAGTTAGTGTAGACGTGTCGTTAGCACTAATAAACAGAATTACAATCAGGTACACTAGAATAAGATCGACTATGTTTCAGCGTCACAGTCTGCCAGCTTCAATCTCCACACTACTAACTGAATCAAACACACGACAAGTGCATCACACACAGCACTATATAAAGCTGGCTGCACCTCTAATTTGTCTACATAACTCGGCACTCAAGCACTGCATCACTAAACATCATTATCAAGACTCTTCAGCACCCAAGCCAGGAGATTGTAGTCCAAATTTAGCTATATTCATTCATAGTACCGGTACTCGACCTCTATCAAGATGCATCTTCCAGCCCACAAGCTCCAGCTGCGCCCTAAACTTACCAACGTTCTACAACACTCAAGCAAGACTTCCACTCCCAAGACCCCTGAAGCTTCAACACCAACAAAGCCAGCTAGCAGTATCAACATCAAAGACAAGAGAAACATCAAGATTGGCATTGCTGCACTCCGTACCGTCAGCAAATGGACCGATAAAGCTGCACTGACGCTCGAGAAGCTCGAGGGCCAAGAGGCGTCGAAGCACTGCCAGGATCGCCAGGCGCGCTTGGTCGCACAAGATGGCAGTATAGGGTACGGAAAGCAAGTTCAAGATACTGGGGTATGGAGAGAGACCGTGGTATACCCGGTACCTGCCCAGGTTGGTAGTTCTAGGGGATTTGAAGCACACGAACAGCCAAGGGTGTACGGAGCACCAGCACCCTCCACTACGGGAGAAAGCCACATTACGGCTAGCGTTGTGGAGGCACCGCTCGTCCAGACTCATCATGCGCATGTCTTGGCTTCCGTCGAGGAGTACTATGACGAAAGTAGTGATGACGAGGAGGGTGGCAGTACCTCTAGGCAGATCGGTCTCAACAGCCCCACAAACGTTGACGCAGATGAAGATACCGATGAGAAAGATACTTCCGATGATTCTAGCGACGATGAGAAGGATGATGACAGCGATATCGAGAAGGAAAGTGACACAGACAGCGATGACCACTCGGATAGCGAGGCGCATGATAGCTCTGATGATGCTGAGGATTTCGACGAGGAGGAAGTTGAGGCGAAGCATCAAACGGTCGTGAATGCTAAGAAGTGAGAAGACGGAATACTGGGGGTAGAGGCGGGTTAGGTGTTTTGGTTGTGACGATGCAGCCTTGTGGGCCACAAGGGACGGGTTTTGACGTAGATCGAAGGTTCATACGGGGAATGGCAGTAGTAGCATAGATATACGTATACATAAAGCGTTGACGCATGGCTGTACTTATCCTGCGAAAATTGTGACTTTCTAGTACTCCAGGCCTTCACTAACCTCCAGCACTGAAGTAGGAGAAGCCAAACGGAGGGATATATACTAGCTTAAATGTTTGCAACATAGTCGAATGATTATCTTTGGCTATGTGGACGAAATATTCCGAAGGGCCGAAGTGAACTGCACGTCAGGCAGCATTGGTTCGGCACATATGCCGTAAGGTTTACACAATGACGTACGTGTGTAACTGCAACAAAAAGCCATCGCGAAAACCCCCAAACAGCTTTTGTTTGTGGGATCCTTGATCGTCCCTTGGTATACCAATTATCAAGTGTCAGCGAAGTGGTAGTAAAGGCAAAGTACAGTAGTCCGACGACAGGCAGTGAAGGTAGGCTACCTAACGGCTGTCAACGGCGCTTCGCAAACACCCGCAGCACGTCACTCATCCCCTCACACCTCACTTGCACGCCTTGAACGAGTTTTACGTTTGTGTTTTCATCCCACGTGCGCCCTAGCCCGAAAGTCGTTGATCGGCTTTGCCCTGCATTGTTCGTTCAGTTCGGTCCCACCCACATCCTCCTAGCAACGCCCGCATCCTCGCAGTCAACATCACGACTGTCAATTGCGAAAATGTCAACACACTTTCGCCCGCGCGCGACTACGCCTGGCCCGCCGAGCCCTACACGTCCATCAACGGCGCGCTCCACGATCCGCGCTATCTCGCCGTCGCCGCCACCGAGTTTGGACGAGGCTTCGCGACAGGATTCTGCGACTACTGGATCGCCGAATGTTGATACCCAAAATACATCAGAGAGTGCGAAGGTGCGACCAAAGAGCGATGGCTATCCGCAAGCATACGTGCATGGTTCTGGTCATGAAGAGACGGACTTCGCCAACTACACCACAACAACAGGGAACGGTAACTTTGGAAGCTCTCCCGCAAACATCACTGCCAATGTCACCATCAAGAGAGGCGGCGGAATGATGACAAGGCGGTCGCCGGTAAAGCGCGGTTCCAGATCAACAAGTCCGAAGAAACGTCCGTACAGTACGCCAACAGAGTTGTCTTCGCACCGCGAGTCGACATCGCGTGACCAGGACGACATGCCAGCTACCAACCCGCGAGACGCAGAGATCCAAGCAGGTGACTACATCGACAGCGACGCATACACCGACTGCCCAGACACACCCACCCCGATGACAAACTCCCAAAAACGCTCAGCCTATCTCCCGCTCGGAACTCCGACGCCCTTCCCAAAGTCCACGCGTTCTTCCAAGCCCAAATCCAGATCAAGCCTTCCTCGTGCCACCCCTACTACTACGCCCACAGCACCGACGCCAAAGCTCGAATTCTTTGAGTCCTTCGACGAGCAACCATCCTATGGCTCTGGGCTTTTCAACACGGACCATCCTCAGATGTACGCTGGGCCAGAAGACAAGCTCATGGCGTTCTACACCCAGACTGAACGTCGGAAGATGCGCGAACGGGCACTCGCAAGGGCTGCGCAACCGGAGAGGACGGTGCCTGGTACCCAGACGGGCTACGCGACAACGTCAGATCACCCAGCAAACGACGCCTTGGTCATGCAGCAGCCACTGCGAGAGGAGGATATTCGTGCGCGCATGCATCTCGTCCCTCCACAACAGACCACGGAATCACCGCCTCGGAAGTCTATGTCAGATGCGGCTGGCAACGTAGCGCGACACGTCTCGCCATCCGAGGGCTCATATGTCTCCGGTGGAACAGTCACTAGCAAACGCTCTGTCTTTAGCACGCCTGGCAGAGACGAGCTTGAGAGGAAGAAGGCGATTGTGGAGACTGACGATGGACCATTTGCTAAAGCAGTGAGCATGGCAGATCTGAATGAGAGACGTAGGGTGGTCAGTGAGGAGGGAGTACAAGGTGTTCGAAGAAGCGAGGATTTGGAAGCAGAGGGCACGCAGAAGAAAAAGAAGGAGGGTAGGACTTGTGGAATGGGGATTGGATGCAATGTGATGTAGAGATTGTCAAAAAGCTCGGAGATGTTCGTTTAGACTTTGCATCGATGCGATGGAGGATGGTTCTGAACCGTAATATGAATGACAACAATGAGTAACGATGAGGCTACTAGTTTGATGCTTAGCATAATATTGTAAAGTAACAATGAAACTGAAACTTCTCTGACGCGTGTGACAGAAGTATATCGCGAACAGACAGTGAATGCGACCACTAGCGAGCGCAACCGCAATACACTTTCGTTTGCCTCTTCGACGTCCAACTCTTCACTCGTACAACCCACTCTAAAGATCGCGACACATTAGCCGCAAAACATCACGCAATGGATGCCGCGCTCGATCGAGTACAAGCGCCGTACATGCTCGACAGCCTGACCGCCGACGCGCAGCGAATATCAGCGAGCCTGCCACCGGACGGCTGGGATTCAAGCTCCGCCCTCGTTGGCCTAAAGCGTGACGTCAGTGGGGTATCGGTCGTGGTGAGTAGCACAACCCCTAGACGGGTAACTTTGTCTGTATCAGCTGCTAACCAAAGGCTCCGTGAAGCCGTCAATAGCTGCGGCGGGCGATGCCAACGATGCTGAACATGCGCGCGGTGGGCTTTTCGCATGGCTCCGGCGATTAATCCGCACCGCTTGTCGTCGCTTCCGTAAACGCCACAAGAATGCGAAAGGCTCCTAACCAAAGGGCCGGTGGATGTTGAATACTCCTAGCGATCAAAGAATAAGACATTGGTATGTGTAGAATGCGTTTTCGAAAGTCGAGCTAATAGCGCTTCTTAGATGAAGAATCGGCCGCGATGTCGAGTGCCTGTAGGATATCGGTACCGAAGACGACAGTCATGTATGCGGGGAAGATGACCCAGAGACCACTGCGAAATCAGTTAGCTTTTATGTACATTCTACCACGAGGCGCAAACGTATGCAGGAGTCCGACTTACTTCATGACAAGGTAGAAGACCAAAAGCGTTGCCCAGTCGTTATGGCGAACGTTTGCGAAGCCAGAGAAATACTCATTAAAGTCTACCATCGTTAGCCTGTGTATTGCCCGTGTGTCGCATGTGTACGTACAGTAGAGTACTGTCTTGCTGACTGTCATGACTGCTGCAGCGAAGCCGATAATGAGCGCGCGGTTGCCAGTCTTGCCGCGTACCTTCCTGCCGCCAGAGAGGAACTTGCCCACGCCCTCGCTGAGCTGCAGGCCAGTACCTCCAGATGTAGGGACACTGTGGTTGTATATGATCATAGCGTAGAGGCCATATAGCACAAGCTCCACAGCGTTCAGCATGGCTTGCGCGCCGCCAAACCCATCATGGTTTTCCCATCCGGGCCATCCGTATACGTGATCGATCGAAGCGTAAATCTCATACGGCTTCCAGATGGGCCACTGAAGCGCGCCACCAGCCATGGTATGTGGGCGCAGAAGAACATATAGCGTGTCCCATAGCACAAGCGGGATCGAAATGGCAAGCCAAACTATCGTAAGATTGGATGTCGTGTGGCACCACGTCGGCTCGTCGATTTCGGATGGAGAGGGAGGGCTGATTTCGGCTTTGGCATTGGAGATTGCGCGCCTCGCAAGCGACTTTGGTGGGGGTGAGGTGTTGAGGTCTGGGGAGGTGGGCGCCGGGGACGCGGTCGAAGTTCGTGATCTTGGCGTCTTCTTGACGGGTGATGGTTCCGTGGCAGGGAAGTCGCCTTGCGGATGCGAGCGCGTAGACACCATGGCGATGAAGAGAGAACAAGACGGCGTGAAGAATTAGGGGTTCAGCAGCAACTGCGAGGAGCGCAACGGAAGGGAGAATGTAACGTGTCGCAATGATGCAAAGGATGCTAGGGAACTAGTGGAGAACGGCTTCTGCTTTAGCCGGGCGGGGCTGTACCTGAGACGGAAGGAGCTTTGACTTGTCGGTTTGAGACCCAACTGTTTGTTGGGGTGATGAGCTCCACCACCCTCGCTATGTTGTGTTCCTCGATTGGATCGGTGTCTTGGGCGATGCGTTCGAGTGAGATCTTGCAGACTTTGGCCACTTTGCTAAGCGTGCGTGCGCTGCACTCTCCACAAGCTTTTGGTCTGACTTTGTGTGCACATCGACGGTGAGCAAATGCCCTAGACTGTTCAGCACATGTGCGACGAGGATACCCAAAGCCTTCTAGCGATGCAATGAGCGTTGCCCATAATGCTAGGTTAGTTAAAGCCTGTTGTTGGCAAGAAGAGGGATAATGATGAATGGAACCGCGACAATTGAAGTGGATCATCCAGCAAGATGACCGCCGAATGGCACTCACGTTGGAAAGATTCTGACCGATAGGACATACTGTAGTCTGCGCACAAGTGTTACTAGTCTTTGGTGCCGTCAATGATGAGCAACATGCAGCGATATATCAAATCTGAGTATATCGTTACCATCTGTCGTGCTTACGAAAGTCGCGACACGGAGCCGCTAGAGTTGATCATACGACCGATAGAGTTGCATGCACTCTAATCATGCATAGAGCCAGTCTTCAAGTGCTGTTTTCAATTATAGTATGCATCCTGTTAGAAAAGGAGCCGTGGTTTGCGCGTGTATTTCTCGCGCATGGTGAAATAGCCCTGGAGTCCACGGGTCGAGCAAGCCCGCCACGCCGCCCTCCTAGGTACATAGCGTGGAGCATGCCTCAACCGACAAAGTTATCTACATGGTATGACAACCCGTCTATTGCGCAAATTGCTGGACATCCATCACGTCAGTCTCCTCTCTTACATGCAGCTCAACTAGGCCTCTAAGAGTGACTGCTAGCGGACTTCAATTGCCGCGCATGCATCTATGGATGATTGGCGTCAAACCTTGAAAGGGCGTTCACTGGCAAGAA